CGCGACCCGCAGATTGCGAGTCGAGCGTCTTATCCACCTGGCCATGCCGGGCGCTAACATAAGAGGAAGAATATATGTGTTTTATACACACATCGTAGACTTAACATATTATAATAATATCTGCTTACGCTTGAAATCTATGGGTCAGTTTGTTTGTTTGTAGTTAAGTGCAAAAGCTACACAATGAACTTTCTGTGCTCTATCCACCACGAATATAGAAACCCTGTTCGCAGACATACTGCTGAGCCACTGCTGGATCAGATTAACCTTATGGTTTCAAAATGTTTTACAGGTTAAATATATTGTTAGTAAGTTACAGTTTAGTAAAACGACCAAGAGAAACTATACCAATGTAGAACTTCGATAAAACCACATCAAAAAGAAGATGAACGTTTTTATTCAAATGTTGAGTGATAAATCCAACTAACAAGTAAACAAATAACTTTTGACCTCAATAAATATTTACAAGCGATATAACATCCAGTACTTCGCTTTTTTATTTTCTCCGGCAGATCTTATAATTAAATATGCTCGCATGTGACTCGTGAAACAAACAAAAAAACAACATGTGACATTACACTATCTTAACTAGCTACTTCGGATACATTTTTGTTCTGAGAATTGTCTCATGACACTAAAATTAGTTGTGTGTAAGTGTCATGACACTGTAAACTTAGTTGTGTGTGAGTGTTAAAGATAATTTGTATTATTAATATTTTGCCAAGACCTTGAATGTGTCGCGAGAACATAGTCTTGTTTCAATGCTTCTAAAATTCCCAGAAGATTGGGCAGAATATATGACACTCGAGTGGTCAATCATTAAGTGCTTTTTTTGTTGTTTTTCTGTACGGAAACCCAGTTTCTATTGATAACATGATACATATGGTGAAAATTAGATATCAAACATGGTCTATGATAAGATGTCCATTCCAGTAGAATCAATTGAAAAATAGACTTTGTACTTTCTTATAGATAACTTTAATCGTTTTCTGTGTCATGTGTACGTGTTAACCGAAACCGAGTGACACGTTTACGTGCAGTTACGAAAAGCTTAAATAGCTTATTGCAAAAAACGACAACAACAATAGTACACTCTCGGAGTAAAAATATTACTTCATATGTTTTGTAGTATTTTATAGCCATAAACTGTCACACGTTTGACGATGACGCTTTGAGCTCTGTGCTAAGTTTAGGCTTTTTTGACATTCTCATAACTAAGTCTTCTAAGCAAGTTTTATACACTTATAAAAAATGTTTTTGAATGATGTGTTATGCTTATCTGTTTAATTTGCAATCTGAAAGGGAAAGTTCCTAGAATCCTTAACAGTTGTAAGAGTCATCTTACAGAAACATTTCTAATGCTTAATTTTAATTTGTATACCTTTTCGATATATAACTGAAAAACAATTTAAGATTTCGTCACAAAGAAGAATAAAACCTTCAATATGTCAGTTTTCTAAACTTTGATGCGTGAATTGATCCTTTTCCTGCTCATATTCCTGAAAAAAATACTTGCTCATCACCGGTTTAGTGTTATGTTTGTTTTCTAAATTACAGTTCATTAATGGTATAATATTTTACGTCATTTTGGTGTCAAAAAGAGTCGTTGAATTTTGTCAGAATGTAACTAGGTACATAAGTTTCATTAATAGTCTGTAAGTACTTGACAGAAAACTTGCTTTAATACAAATAAAGGCATAAGTTGTGTAAAAATGTGTTCATTATTGAAAGAAGAAACACTAGTTCCATCGTTCTCAGATTTTATTTTGACCATGGCGAGGTAGATAGACTGGTGTGTTTGTTTGAAGTTAAGCACAAATCTACACAATGGGCTATCTGTGCTCTTCCCACCACGGGTATCGAAACCAGGTTTTTAGCGTTGTAAATCCGCAGACATACCGCTGTCCCACTAGGGAGCAGACTGGTGTGTATCGTGCATTAGTACCTGAATATAGTAAAATTATGTGACTTGGTCTAAAAGATATTCGATCAAAATAGTCAAGTTTATACGTTGTTTAATAATAGAAGTTAAGTGACCCGTGTATATATATTATTATTGAACTGATGAGATCAGTTGTGAAAACTGACTGTAAATGATTAAAAATCTATTAATATGAGTATTTTTTATTATTTTTTTTGCGTTAAGTAGAACGAAAATAGATTTTGGGTTTAACTTGTTTCGGATATTTGCCGTCATTACTATTTGCTAACTCTTGGGATGTTCTAATCGAATAGTGGGATATGACCAAATTCTTATAACGTGGAACACAATTTTCTGCAGCAATGGGACGCGAACCATGGACCTTCGGGTACACGGCTGGCACTCTAACCACCAGTCCATGCTCAGTCTGTAGACTTTAGAAGGACACACTTAGAGAGGGAGAAATTTGGTTAATGAGCTCCACAACTATGATCATTCTAATACACTACTTTTATGATAAGTAAGATTTTAATAGAGAACAATTCGTTAAAATGTTGTTGATTTGAATGAGTTTTTACTTCCAGCGAATCCTAACTGACAGGAACTCTTCCTTCCTGTACCACAGTAGATAAACCCATTGGCGCTGCCAGTGTGATGAAGGATAGTGAGTAAAGTTTATATGTTCAGTGTCTGTTTGTTTGTAATATTGATATATATCAGAGTAGTATAGCAGCCACCTGTGAGTCAGCCAGTCATGAGGCGGAGCCGCTTCGTGTGCTCTGTATTCTCTCCAACCTTTGCTCTCGTTTAGTCTGTCTTTCTCCTTCTGCTCTGCGTGCGTTGACACTCAGTCACTATACGAGCGTTCTTTAATCTTGTAGCTGGAAAACAAAGCTTTTATTAGTTTCAATAAGAGGAAGGAGTTATCAAAAATGGATTCCTTATATTTCAGAGTATGAAGATTCATGGGTTGGTTTTTGGCTTTGGCAAAAAAAAAGAAGAAAGATTGATATTGTTATCAGGTATATTTTTAATCAGTAGGCAGTATTACCAGTAGTTCACGTCATGAACCGGTACAGAGTGATTGGGTATCTTGATGGTGATAACTTTCTAAGTGATGAGATAGCAGTTTTGTCTTGGGCTTCATGTATAGCGGAATAAGCCCAATTTCTAACACAACGTAACATTCCCAACTGTTTAAAATGAAATATTGTTCAGTAATTACATAATTTCGTATCTGGTGGGTTTACAACCGAAGTTTGAAAACTCCTTCTTAACAGCCCCTAATGATATCTTCAACTTTTTTCTCTTGTAACTGAGAACCTGAACAAGTGCCTAACTCTGGCGTTCTTTCCATTTTATATGGGCCCCTTGCAGCCCTTCTGTGTCTCTCCACCGATGGACCAAGTTCGTGAGTTGATGAATCATTGTTCGGTGCCATCCACGTCCGACGCTACAGCCACCACTGTCCCAGGTCCTGGCGGGGCTCCTTCTGCTCCTCCGGTACCAGTGGGGTGCCTCGGAAATCGCATGCTGTCACGCAACGTAAATGGCACAGGTAAGTAAACACTTCCATGAATAATTCATTGATAAATCCATATATCATTATATTTGAAAGTTTTATCTTAGAAATCACATAATATACACTTATATATATTGTTTTTAAGGGCAAGCTCACACAATGGACTATCTGCTTTGTGCCCACCGCGGATAGCAATCACAGAATTATATTCAACACATTAACATGCATATACAAAATGTCTCTCTTATAAAGAAAATTTAGACATATATTATTTTTTTATCGTTGTGTGAACATCCTGTATTGACTGACACGTCTCGCAGTTTTATTTTTTATCGAACTTGTACACGTTGCTCCAAAATGTCTCTCTTATAAAGAAAATTTAGACATATATTATTTTTTTATCGTTGTGTGAACATCCTGTATTCACAGACCCGTCTTGCAGTTTTATTTTCTACGTGTTCTTCCAAAATTTCTCTTAGATGCAAGCGGTATGTTCACACAATGAATATGTTTTCCTTCTAACATCTCCATTATGTACGAACAAAATGTTATGTCCTAGGTGCAAGAGATATGTGTACTCAAGCAAGCCTTCGCTTCCCTACAGTAATGTATATATCTCATTCACGTACAGAGATAACAGGGAAAACTATTCTCGGCGAGGTAAATATATATTAATGGTTGTTGTTTTTTTATCGAAATTTTTCCTTTTAAGTTCATCTATATGGAAGAGCGATTTAATATATATATATATATAAATATTTCGTGCGACCAACATCACATCCGGTTCACACGTCATTTTAGCTTAGGCAAATGAAATATGAGCTAATCTATGTATTTTTTGTGTGTTTATTTAGTATTTTCCCGAGTTTTTGTACAGTACTATGTCAACTAGTAAATCAAGAAATTAAATTCGGCATTAAAGAACTCTTAAAGCCCAGAGTGAAATTTCCCCGGTATTTTCCAGAACTCACTACCGGCTCCTTTTGAAATTCCAAGGGGGGTAACCTCTTCTGTTTTTGAAGCCGGTACCGAGTTCCGTTATTTTTATATTTCTTGGCAGTTCAATCTGAATAGTGCATTAAGAGTTAACGCTAACTTGCGGGAAACTTGATGGTTCGTACACTGCGAGGCCAGATTCGGGCAAAAATATCTACATATTTTTTAAGGAGAATTTCAACACCGCCTAGGAGCCGAGTGGTTTCTCATCAGTTTTCATTTATGGACTGTAAGACTTTTAAGTTTACAAATACCTTAAATATTTGAATATGATTTAATAATGTGTTTTCATTGTAATGTTGCATAAAAAAGAAACTACAAATAGACGCTTTTCTCCATTTCTTAATTTATTTAATAATTTAGTTTCATAGTTGTCTGTAGCTTATTCCGGCCAAGAAATGCTGTTACCCCTGTATTGTGCTCATAATCCTTTAAAGTTCTTTATTATTCAACTATTTTCATACCAAGCATCAACCAGTATGCGTTAAATCTAAAGGATAGCATTAATAATCTGATAAATGTAGTATTTATTATGTGTATTTTATATCGAACATGATACCTTAGTTTTTTTTAACTACACTGTTGAAAAGTGCCTTTTTGGCCATTTTAGACAATTTAACAATAGGTTCGAAAGGATATTAAGAAAAACGAAACACCCTAAACAGTTAGTTATCACACTTAAGTAATGCTTAATTCTTAATAAGTCAGAAAAAAATAACAAACCAACTCGCTAAACGATATGTGCATAATAAGATTTATAAGTAAAATACTAGCACGTTAAAAAAGTGTATGTATATTACGTTTCAATTATGAAGTCACAAATTGAGAAATGAAACACTGTTATCACGGAGTTACAAATTGAGGATTGAGAACCTTGTTATGTAATACATATATACGTGTATGTGTGGCCAAGTCCACTTGTTTCAATACACACATATATACGTGTATGTGTGGCCAAGTCCACTTGTTTCAATACACACATATATACGTGTATGTGTGGCCAAGTCCACTTGTTTCAATACACACACATATATACGTGTATGTGTGGCCAAGTCCACTTGTTTCAATACACACACATATATACGTGTATGTGTGGCCAAGTCCACTTGGTTTAATACACACACATATATACGTGTATGTGTGGCCAAGTCCACTTGGTTTAATACACACATATATACGTGCATGTGTGGCCAAGTCCACTTGGTTTAATACACACACACATATATACGTGCATGTGTGGCCAAGTCCACTTGGTTTAATACACACATATATACGTGCATGTGTGGCCAAGTCCACTTGGTTTAATACACACACACATATATACGTGCATGTGTGGCCAAGTCCACTTGGTTTAATACACACACACATATATACGTGCATGTGTGGCCAAGTCCACTTGGTTTAATACACACATATATACGTGTATGTGTGGCCAAGTCCACTTGGTTTATGTTTGTTTTCCTTATTTGAAAATGTTGCATCTGATTTTGTTAGCAGTAATGTTGTAACAGTAATGTTGAATGTTATAATTACCCTGTATAATTAAATAAAATAAGAACGATAATTAAAAAGACAATTTTACAAAATGGCCAGTTTTGTTCGATGCAGTCAAAACTACAAGTATTAAACTTAATCACAGATGACACTCTTCTTTTCAATAGGAGTTAACAGGCGGTTATTACTCCAGAAATAATTAAAGATTAACAAGTAACTGAAACTCAATAGTAAAAAATAAGCTTTTTATTATTGGTTATCGGTCAAAATCACAAATGGTTGTAATAATTTATTGAGAACGTCAATGTTTTTAGCTAATTCAATGAGGTTGACTGGTCGCTATCTCGAAGAGGTTTAAGAACTTTGTTTGCTGTAACTGTTTTCCCTGTAACTTTACTGTTTTCAGGTCGTTTTGTTCGTTTTGCACTCTAACCACTTGCTTAATCGTTTATCAAATCGGGCATCTTTCTGTTTCTGTAGTTTATTAGGTTCAAGAGTCAACAAACGTTTTTACTCTATAAGGACTAATCTGAACCAGTATTCTTGCTTTTCATATGGCCCGAATGGTATTGACATGTCGCAGTTTTGTACGTTTTTCTTTACTAATGGGGCTCAGTTATATCTCCAAAGGTTAGCTACATCATTACACCTCTGTTACGGCATAGTTCTGGTTTTGAGCTAGTCTGACAACTTGTAACTTACCTGTTTATGAAGTATGCAAATTTATGTGTATTTATTATAATATCTGATAAAACAGCCGGAAGCAGGGTTGGCGAGAGCCATCACTGGCGCAGGGAAAAAACTGCTATGTGCCCCCCTCCCCGAACAGTTTTTTGGAATGTTGCCGCGTACACCCGTAAGTGACTGAACCCCGCGGAAATATCCCCCGGCCTCCCTGTCCTCTTGGTGGGCCTAGCCGAAAGCAGTATCATTTTAGCAGACATTTTTCATGAATGGTTTAAATTGATTTAAGTTATACTTTATGTGTTGACTTCACAAAGTTTAGCTTAAACTCTATGGGTGAGCAGACTTGACGGACTTACAACGCTAAAATTCGGGGTTTCGATTCCCCGTTGTGAACAGAGCACAGATAGCTTATTGTGTAGCTTAGCGCTAACAACAAAAACCTCAAAATGCTAACCGCTAGTTTGTTAAAAGTAACTATGAGTTTCTAAGTGGAAAAAGGCCTAAAAGTTTTTCTTTGGTAAATTTATTTTGATTCACAAGTAACTCTAAAACTGAGTGGACACTTGATTTTGAGTACCATCTGATCCACTGGAAATTTTGATAGTGATATTTATTTTGTAAAGATAGTCAAATATTTGTCGTTTTTACTAATTTTACTGTGAACTACAGTTCGTAGGCAACTGAAAGTGTCGTAGAACAATGGAAATTGGCTTTTTGTTAACAAAATCTTGCTTAAACATTAACTAATTAACTGTACACATTACTGTGTATATCTGTCAAGAGACTTTCACATCAAAATTTTGTGCTAATTTGCATAGTAACAATTATTTGTGTATTTTATAAAAAGGCTTGAAATGAGATGACTTTCTCAAATATCGCAGTTCACGTTTGATAGCAAATTTCTTGATTTCGAATTAAAAGTCATTATATGTATGTCTGTGTGTATTAAGAAAAATCAAAAATTTGTTTGTTTTTGAATTTCGCGCAAAGCTACACGAGGGCTATCTGCGCTAGCCGTCCATAATTTAGCAGTGTAAGACTAGAGGGAAGGCAGCTAGTCATCACCACCCACCGCGAACTCTTGGGCTAATCTTTTACCAACGAATAATGGGATTGACCATCACATTATAACGACCTCACGGCTGAAAGGGCGAGCACGTTTGGCGGGACGGGGAAATCAAAACATAACAATATTGGAAGTGAAACTCTAAATCTGTGACTCGCAACATAATTCAGATTATCTTATTACAAATTTCAGCTTTTACAGATTTATTTTTAAAGCAGGTATGACGTTTCTATCACTGGCACGATCATTCTCAAGTACACAATTAAAGAAACGTGATCGAAACGTCGTACCTGTTCTAAAAACGAATCTTCCTTACTGTAGAAGCTGAAACTTGTAATTCAATAATGCTTAATCAGCAAGTAAACTCAAAACGAAACTAAAAATTCAAAATTGTAATAATATTTCGCAAAACAAACCCAGTAACACAAAAATATAAATCAAATTATACTATTTGTTAAGAAAGTACACTATATATCAATTAATTAATATGTGCTGATAATAGTTTATATAAGGTATAACGTTCGTAGTTAACTATTGTTTTTAGTAGCTACATATTGTGTTCGTGATTAAGGCACATTGTTTCAGTCAACTGAGTTGTATTAGCTGAGTTTGTCTAAAATGGTGTGTTTGGTTTGTTGAATTTCACACACAGATACTCGAAAGTTGTTTGTACTAGCTGCTCCTAATTTTGAAGGCAGCTAGTCAACACTGCCAACTCTTGGCCTACTCTTTTACTAACGAATAGTGGAATTGATATAACGGTCCAACACTTCCACGGCTGAAATGGCGAGAA